AAGAGAGATTGTGGTTTCCAATGTGTAGGTAATTTCACTTGTAAAACAGGTTTTTAACAAGTAGGGGAAAAATTATATTTAAAAATGTACTTTTTGTTGGTTTTGGGTTTTCCCGGACCAAAATTATTTTTTTTTTTTTTGGGGGGGGGGGTTTTATTATTCTCTAGCTTTTGGTTGTTACTGGAACATAAAGTGATTAAATTTTTAGACAAGTTAATTTTTTTTCTACCTAAATGCTGCAACAAAACTGATTTTCTCTCTGTGTAAGGCCGCAGATATGCTTTTTATGCGAGTAAATTGCGTTGCACATCCAGTCCTTTTCTTCTATCACTGTCCACCTCCGGCAACAACTGGACTATCTTTCACAGCAAGTTGGCTGCAAAACTGAAAGTTTCATCCCTGCTGTTGTCCAGCCATTTGCCAGAGAGATGTGTGAACGCTGTTCGCCGCACATTGACATCAAGGAATGAAGCAAAGGATTTTCGGGAAATTCATGCTCCTAAGATTCCTTATAAAATTCTATAAAGGTGATTACAAGTGTAACTTGGCCTAAATTCTGACTTATCTGATGAGCAATAGCCGCTTCACAACAAGCGGAATTAAGATTAATTGGACGAAGATAGAAACAACGATTTAAATAATGTGTTACACATCCACATTCTGTATTCACTCCCAGAGTAGTTTGCTAGGTTGTTGCAAGATACATTGGACTATTTTAACAGAAACTCTTGAATACAAAAATAGGCATCTTATCTTGCACCAGAAAACAGCGTTAGTTCAGAATGTTTTAGATATTTTTGGTGTCAATAATGAATTCACTTCTACGGTTCTTTGCACATAAAATCGGTTGCAGAAGTTTTTGTAGAGGCTTGCAGGGTGCAGCTTAAAGTCCTGGTCACAGTCTTTCTGAAAGAAAGACTGGAATCATCTTTGACATATTTCAGGCATTTTATTGACTTAAAACGTACGAGCTTTTATTGAAGAAGATGGGCAGTATGAAATGTCAACGCCATAGCACTTGGTATAAGGACATGGGAAGATGAACTTTTAATGAAGATTCATCAGACTATATGCTAATGAAGGTAACTATATAATAATGTGTTTTTTATTTTAATTATACATTTTGTGGTATATAATTAATGTATATATTAATTACCTATAGGGGAAACGGTCGTATCTAGGGACATTTTAATGTTTTAATTTCACCCCATGCTTCCTTTGGGATATACATTGTTCTTGTGTTCTTAATGTTTCTTTTTTGGGATGCTACACATTCTCAGCATATTTTATGGTGCGTGAAATAATAATTTTTAAAATTTACAATTAATAATATTTTTTTTAATAATATAATATTATAAAATATGTAGTTAATTTTAAATTATTAAAAATCGTTTATTAACTATTATTTGTGAGATAAACTATTGCATTAATTCGTAAAAATTTAAATTATTTATAAATATGTCCAATATTAAATAATTTTCTTGTTAGTCGGAGTTTCATGTCAGTTATTTGTTTGGCAGGATAATTTTCTGTGTTAATCGGTGGGAGATTTGTATCCAGTCATTAGAAAAGGATCTGCAAGTAAATTTTAAACGCGTATCTTCCGAAGGAGAAACGCGGGGCATTCTCTGGCAACTAGAAACGAGGAGTTGCAATTCGGCCCATTTTAGTACTCGAGTACTTCGTGCGTGTGTTGTTCAAGAAACCTGAGCGGCAAGCAGCAAGAAGGGGCGAACGAGTCGCGGAGGAGGTGTTCGAGAGGCGCCTGGGGGATTCGGTGGCGACCTCCTCAACTCTATGCTGGTGCGACGGCCTAACGCCTCCACCAGGCGGCGCTGGCTTGGCCGAGGCGGCCGCTTGCAGGTAGGACCGCCAAGCTACAGCTGTGGCTGAACACGCCTGTTTTTACGTAGCGCGAACTTTACGGCCCTGGTGAAAGGAAATGTGGGGGTAATCCGAACAGGTGCTCGAGATTCGTTCAGTCTATGACGCTGTGGTTGAGATGCAATATTGTTTCAAAATGTTTCTTATATCTGCTTTAATGGCGTGGTAAACTAAGGTTGATAATTTTTGGGGTATTATGGGCTACATTTAAATAATTCGCCGCTAATACCTAGTACGCAAACTGTGCTGAAGCCCATTTAGTAGATTCGGATACGATTTTTAAATTGGGCTTCTTTTTACTTCATTACACATTTGTGGCTATTTTGGTCAACGCATTTGGGAAAAATTGTTACTTAATGTCCTTTTTTCAAAATGTTTTTTCAAGTGGCACCGGGCTTCGCTTACCATATTCGAATAGAGACTAGAGTCCGCGGCCTAGCTTTTCCAAAACGAAGAGGCCTGTGTAATTGGCTGCTATGGTTCGTATACCTTATCTGTCGCAGAGGAAGCAGAAATGGGGGATGCCTGGACCAGTTCACCCACGTGATCTGTATACCATAGGCCTCATTCATCAATGCAAACTTTTACGTAAACATACCTTAGCGGCAAAATTTAGAAATGGGTTAGTAAGCGACGACCATATCACAATGTAGCCATTCACTTAGCCGTAATCCTGTAAAGTTTGTGATCACAAGTACCGAATTCGTTTTACTTTAAGTTTACGTCGAAAATGCCTGCCAATCAGAGAGCTTTGCATGAAAGAAGCAAATGCACACCAAAGGAACTGGCAAAAGCAAATAACGGTAGATTTCAGATTTGTGTGCAGGAAGTTTGTGGTTATATGCAAATTTATTACTGTTATGTATGAACTTAGTTTGCGGGAACGGGTTCTGATGCGAGTAGTGAATTCAAAGTAAGTAATTTGGGGCATTTTTCTTGTACCTTAATTGACATAGCAATAAGAATAGAAATAGAATATACTAGTGAATTAATACAAGAGAATCGCTGTTTTAATAAAATAAAGGTAAATGCGAGTACTAATATAACAGCTACCGGTATTTATATATGAAAGTCAAGATGCTAATTGAAAATAATGGAAGAAAAAGCTTGCGAAAAGATCGGTTCCAAGTTTTGTTCCAGGCGTCGTTGTGAATGGCTGCCGTAGTTTCTACGTGTTAAATGTTACTTGCTCGATTCACGCATGACCGTTTCGTTTGAGTTTGTCTTGCGATGGAGGCCCAACCTGTAGTTTTCTTGCGTTGTCGTCCCGGCAGGTGGCCTGGCGCAGGGGGCGGCGGGCGGCGGCCGCCGCGGCTTGGACGCGGCGGGCGCTCGGCCCTCCATGCTGCGGCAGGCGGGCGCACGAACGGCGCCCGTGCGGGCGGCTGCTGGCGGCGGGCGCGCGCGTGGCGCGGCGGGACGCGCCTGCTGGCTGGACGCCCGTGGCAGTACGCGGACGCCAGCGCCTCACGTGGAGGCGCTGGATGCGGCTGCTGCGAGGCCGCGCCGACGCCCAGCAGGTGGGCGGCGTGTCTGATGGATCCAGCGTCGGTGGTCGAAGCCATCCGTGAATGGATCTGCCGGAGGTCGGTAGCTTTTTGTTTCCGTTGAAGACAACTGTCGATTGCTCTCGTCTTACTTCGGAAAAGAGAGAAAGTATTCGTATTGTGTTCCATGAAACGAGACGGAGAATTTTCTATAGAAAACTTATTGTCGGCCTTGGTAAAGAAATCGGATAAATGTTTCCTGAATAAAGAAAATTTCATCCTCTAACATGTTTTGTATTCAGAATCCTGTGCGGCCTTGATATCGAAATATCGATTGGCGGAAAAGCTCTCTTTCCGTCTGTTTGTGGACAACACTAGCGGCTAAATCGTAAGTAGGATTTACACCGAAATTGATATTCTTTAGTTTGAAGGAACTCGAATACCTGCGAGTTTGAAAGGGATCTTTTTATGTTTGGGGGCTACATTATACGAAGCCAAAACATTTTCAACATTTTCTCAAAAATGCCTCTCAAGGTTTTTGGTTTCACTTTGAGCTTGGTTAGGGCGCTTAAAGATTGGCGCAAATAAAATTTTCGTTAAAATCCCTGACTTTTCGAAAATCACGTTTTCGGCGTCTTCCTACAATTACCAATCGATGATAATTTTTTTTTAATAAAGTCAGTTGTTTAAAGACATCTTAAAATAAGGTTACGCACAATTTTTCGAAAGTATGAGTAGATTTCGCGTAATTCTTTTTGAAATATTGGCAATTTTAGATTACTACTTTCTTAGAATCTGCTCCAATTTTGTACTTCACTCTCGTTTTCGCAGAATAAACAGTGTTGCATGGGAAGGCAGAGCTACGCCGGACACTTAATTTTTCCGTTATGGTTTGAAGATAAATGGGTCTAATCGGTACTGAATCCGTGCGGCAGTTCCTGTAAAGGGGTGTCTTTAAATTACGTTATAATAACTTGGAGTTTTTTCAATACCCTCTCTCCCCCTAGTAACGCACCCTTAACGCACGCATGAACCTCCCTACATAATTACGTAACGCTTATGACGACACCCCCTTTGAAGTCGTAGGCTTCCGCGACCAGAGTCATGTGGGCAATCTGGGCTGTCCGGGTGCAACTCAGCCTTCGACGCGGCGTCACCCGGACAGCCCAGATCACCGACACCCCCTTTGTAAATGCAAGAAGCGAAAATAAGTTATAGCACAGTAGAAACAATTTGAAGTTATTTTACTTCTTTTATATACATTATTTTTCATCTGTTTACAGATTGTTTACTGTTTTCTTCAAAGACTGGGGACAGCAGGTTCTATGTCATTTCGGATTGAAAATACAGAGATGCAAATGACGCCTTCAAATCTTCAATCGTGTAAAACTGCAGATATCTTAGGGATGATAGCAGTTTTTGGGTCCACTAGAGTGCTGAAGAAAATTGTGCGTTCTGGAGTAGACGTCAATGCTGCATTGAGCAACGGGAGAACGCCGTTGTACCTGACAGCTCTTTTCGGCCACATGAACCTTGTCATCGAACTCCTCTCTCTGGGAGCAGACGTCGATTCGAAGACCCCCGACGGGGAATCGGCCCTCCATGCAGCGGTAAGAGGCGGACACGTCCACATTGTGGAATTGCTGTTGAAAAGCGGAAATATTCAATCTAGGAACGACAATGGGTGCACGCTTCTTCACTTTGCTGTTGCGTTCGATCACGCGAAAGTAGTACAACTTCTTTTGGATGAGAAGGCCTCTCTTAATGCCCAGGATAAAGTAGGTTGCGAGCCTATTCACGTAGCAGCTCTTAAGGGTCACAAAAAAGTCACTGAGATCCTTTTAGCTGCCGGGGCGAACATTGAAGCTAAAACGAAGCGGAATGAAACACCTCTTCACTGTGCAGCATACGAAGGCCAAGAGGAATTGACGAATCTCCTCTTGTCTCGAGGAGCGGATATTCACGCAAGACAGTGCAGTGGGGATCAGGCTATACACATTGCGGCATTTAGGGGACACAAACACATCGTAGAGATCCTTTTGACTCGAGGAGCGGCTCTGGAGGGCGTCAACATCGTTGGCATGACTCCCCTACATTGCGCAATTCAATTATCGAACGAGAAAATGGTAAAGTACCTCCTGTCTCAAAAAGCAAATTTGAACGCGAGAGCCAAGTACGGTGAACTACCTATACATATGGCAGCGTATAAAGGGTGCATAGCCATTGTAGATTCCCTTCTGTCTGCTGGGGAAGACATTGAGTCCGTGAACGACTTTCTGTGGACTCCGCTGCATTGTGCTGTTCGTGGAAACCTCGCGGAAATGGTGGAGTTCCTTCTGACACGCGGCGCGAACATCGAAGCACGAAACGAGAAAGGAGATCAGCCTCTGCACTTGGCAGCCGCAGGGGGGCATGCGGGGGTGGTGAAGCTTCTGCTGTCCGCCGGGGCGGCCGTGGACTCTGAGAACGGTTGGGGCGCGACGCCCGTTGCCGCCGCGGCGTGTGCGCGCGCCGTGGCGTTGGACGGGGGAGAGCGCCTCGCGGAGGTCGTCGACGTGCTTGTGCGCGCGGGGGCGCGCGCGCGCCTTCCTCGGCGCTGGGGAGAGCGCGTGGGGCCGCGCGGGGCGTGGGTCGCGTGGGCGGCGTTGGCCACGCCCGTCATTCGAGAGCTGCTCGACTCGGTCACGAAGTGAGCTTGTTGCTCAGTTGGACGCGACACCCATGCCGATGTTTTCAAAATTTCCAAGTTTTTATAGAAACGTCGATGTGAAAGCTAATGTTTGTGCATCGATGTTTTGTGAGAGATATAACCAAAATCAAAACATTGTAGAAGTTAAAATATGAGCTGATCGCACCACTGTTGGTTACGTGCTCGATACAAACTACTGTTGTTTGTATGACCTTCACTGACCTGACGTCCCTCTCGCCCGAGTAACCCCCATCACCCCGCCTTTTCCTACGTCTTCCTCGTGTTTGGGGACCCGTTTTTTAACCTAGTGTTCACCTAAACCTTAATTATAAATTATTAAACTGGGCCACTGTCAAATTAAATTTTGTTATGCACAAATTCAAAGCGAGAAGTCAGCTTTAAAACACGGATGTTTGAAAACGTTGATTGTTTTTGTATTGTAATATCGAGTTTTAATTTTGAACATCGATATTGTGTTGTCGATGTCGCAACATTAATTTCTTAATGGCGATTGTCTTATCACGGCGAAACACGCCTTGTTTGTGTTTTGATTTTGGCTGGTCTGGCTGCAATAGCTCAGGGGCAACGCCGTTGAATCCGAATGCCACCGATGTCCGGTGGGCCTGGTTTTTGAGTATCACGTTCCGACAATGGCGACATTTTATGATGATGAACTACTACTACTAGCTACTACTACTACTACTACCTACTACTACTACTACTACTACTAACTACTACTATACTAATAACTACTTACTGCACTACTACTACTACTACTGACTGCTACTGCTACTGCTACTAGCTTTATCTGCTACTGCTATAGCTACTGCTAACTGCTTACTTACTGCTACTGCTACTGCTACTGGCTACTACTGAGCCTAGCTGCTACTGCTACTGCTACTGCTACTGCTACTGCTACTGCTACTGGCACTGCTACTGGGCTACTGGGCTACTGCTACTTGCTGCTGGCTGCTCTGCTACTGCTATACTGCTACTGCTAACTGCTACTGCACTGCACTGCTACTGGCTACTTGCTACTGCTACTGCTACTGCTGCTGGCTGCTTGCTGCTGCTGCTGCTGTTTTTTTTTTTTTTTTTTTTTTTGTTTCTTTTTTTGTTTTTTTTTTTTTTTTTTTTTTTTTTTTTTATTTTTATTTTTTTTTTTTTTTTTTTTGTTTTTTTTTTTTTTTTTTTTTTGCTGCCTATGCTCCTGCCCTTGCTGCTCCTGCTCCTCTACTGCTACTGCCTAGTACTGCTACTGCTCTGCTCACTGCTATGCTACTGCTACTGCACTTGCTACTGGGCTACTGGGGACTGGCTACTGCTACTGCTACTTGCTAGCGCTACTGCTACTGAGCTACTGCTACTGGCTAACTGCTACGCCTACTGCTACTCGCTACTTGCTACTGCTACTGCTACTGGCACTGCTTACTGGCACCTGCTACTGCCTACTGGCTACTGCCTACTGCTACTGCTTACTAGCTAGCTGCTACTGCTACTTGCTACTGCTAACTGCTTACTGCTACTGCTACTGCTAAACTGCTATGCTAACTGCTACTGCTACTGCTAATGCTACTGGGCTACTGGGCTACTGGGGCTACTGGGCTAACTTGGGGCTACTGCTACTAAGCTTACTGCTAACTAAGCTACTGCTACTGCTACTGCTTACTGCTATCTGCTACTGCTACTGCACTGCTACTGCTACTGCTACTGCTACTTTGCCTCTGCTACTGCTACGCTACTGCTACTGCTATCGCTACTGCTACTGCTACTGCTCTGCTACCTGCTACTGCTATGCTACTGCTCCTGCTACTGCTACTGCTAGCTGGCTACTGCTACTGGCTACTGCTACTGCTAACTGGCTACTGCTACTACTACTCACTCTAGACTACCTACTCCTACTCCTACTGCCTACTCCTACTCCTACACCTACTCCTCTCCCTACTCCTACTCCTACCTCCTACTCCTACTCCTACTCTCTCTACTCCTTCCTACTACTACTACTACTACTGACTACTACTACTACTACTACTACTACTACTACTACTACTACTACTACTACTACTACTACTATGTTCTACTACTACTACTACTACTACTACTACTAGCTACTACTTACTATACTACTATACTATCTACTACTACTACTACTATACTACTACTACTGTAACTACTACTACTACTACTGTACTACTACTACTACTACTACTACTACTACTACTAAACTACTACTACTACTACTACTACTACTATACTACTACTACTACTACTACTACTACTACTACTACTACTAACATACTGTACTACTACTACTACTACTAACTACTACTACACTACTACTACTACTACTACTACTACTACTACTACTACTACTACTACTCTAACTTACTACTACTACTACTACACCTACTACTACTACTACTACTGACTACCTACTTTACTACTACCTATACTACTACTACTACTACTACTACTACTGAGCTAATACTACTACTACTACTACTACTACTACTACTACACTACTATACTTACTACTACTACTACTTACTACTACTACTACTCTTACTATACTACTACTAACTACTACTACTACTACTCCCTACTACTACTACTTACTACTCACTAACATACTACTACTACATACTACTACTATACTAGCTACTACTACTACTACTACTACTACTATACTACTATCTACTACACTACTACTACTACTACACTC